GTGGGGGTGGGGGGTCTTGGAGCATCCGAGGGAGGACGGAGTCAGACTTTGAAGTTTATGGGTTTTGAATTTGCAATTGATGTCATAGTTTATTTTAGTTACTAAATTCGCAATTGAATATTTATACCTGTTTAATATATTTTTTAAAATAAATATAAGGTCTATGCAAAAACTATTGACTTTATCTTAATCCACAGTTAATATTATAGCTCTACCTTACTTGGAGGTACTAGTGAGGGGTCGACGAAAGCGGCATGGCGGATTTACATGTCGGTAGCGTCAGTGCTTTTGATTCGAGCTGTATGTATAGTTAAAATATAAGTAATTAATATAATTATACGAAATTAAAAACTGCTGGTACAAAGGAGTAGAAATGAGAAGAAATTACACTCTATGTCACTTGGGCCATATAACCCACTCAAAAATAGCCCATATTTTGAGGCCTTTACCTGGCATAGCCCATGTTGGCTAACTTATGAAATTTTATTTTCACCACACCTTAAAATAACCATTTTAATATTTTAAATTTTAATTTCTCTGTTGCTCTCTTCCTCACGCTTTTCTCACTCTCTCTTCCTCTCGATTTTCTCAGACCATAACCGACTCTATTGTTGTGTGCAAGTTGCTTTTCGAGGTTTCAATCTTAGTTTGAGGTAATTTTCGTTTCATTTTATGCTTTTCCTACAGTGTTGGTTTTGAATTTTTTTTTTTTGATTTTTTTTTTTGCTTTTTCTGATTACGCCAATTTTTTTCAATGTTGCTGTGTTTTTTCGGATGATTTTATGTTTCTTGTTTCTGCGTTCGAGACTTAAACTTGATGAAACGAAATGCATGGTTTGTTATTTCGACTTTTCGGGTAGAATTTTTGGTTTTTTGAGTTTTGTTAAAATTTGGAAAAATTGGCCTCTGCTTTGAGTTTATGGCTTTTATTTTTGTTTAGATTTTGAGTTTTGTTACAGTTTTATTTGTTTGTTTTCCTTCAGTTGTCTTCACTTTTGTTAAAGCTTTGCTTTGGCCTCTGCTTTGTGTTTATGGCATTTTGGGTTAACTTTTGAGTTTTGTTACAGTGTGAGTTTTGTGTTTGCTTTAACTTGTTTTAGATGCTGCATTACCTTAATGATAGACTTGTTTTGGATGCTGCATTACCTTATGCAATTCTGATACCTTACTTCTTGAAGAGTTCTGATTTTTATGTCGAGAAGAAGGGCATTGATTGGAACAATGGTGCATATACCGATAAATCCCATTCTGATGCTTTGCAGATTAATCTGGTTAATAATGTTCCCCAACAGATCAAATGGTAGGTTAATCTCAATTGTTTTACTATTTTACTATTAGTGTACCTATTTGAATCTGATTCGTTTCTTTTTAATTACAGTGATTGTGGTGCTTTTGTTGCTGGCTTTGCTGGGTATTTCATCCTTGGTAAAGAAATTCCAAAGGATAATTTTGACATTGAGACACTTCGCACCAGGTGGGGATCTCTGTTATGAGATTATGGAAAGAAAAAACAACAGTCTGGTGCAATTAGTGATGATGAAGTCACAAGGAGACTTTTGAAGAAGAGGAAGAGGGAGCGACCAAGAAAGTAGTTCTGTTATTTTCATTTTACTGTAGTTTTTCTATGTATAAGGAGTTGTTGCCTAGTTTTGTAACTATTCTGCTACTTGTGAGATAACCTTAAAGGATATTATAGATGTTTTTTTATTTTTTTTTTATTTTTGTGTAATTTGAGGCAGTCATTACACATTGTTGGTGTGAATGAATTACATTTTAATGAATATTTTCAGTTGCTTTTGTCCTTTAACAAAGTATGTATTTTCATTATGGTTGCAGTTTTGTTAATGTAGCAGGTTTTATACATATGTATACAATAATATACATAGTTATACAAATTTATACAAACTTATACTCTCATTTATACATCTGTATACATGTAATACCAGTGATTGTTTGCAGTCCTGTTTTGTATTTCTACAATCTATCAATATATTTAGTACCATTAAAAATAGGAAGACACTATTATTGGATAAGCAAAACATGTATAATGAAACATGTCAATTGCTTGTGAAACTTAACTAATCAACATTTGTAACTCTATTGTTTGTGAAACTTAACTACTCAACATGACAACAAATGTAATAGGAAGCGTTTTGTTTCCAACTATTTATTTTGGTCGATTCCTACATGTTTTCCTATTGTGACCACCTTGTCCACACACAGAACACGAAAATGCCCTCTTAGACTCTTTCTCTGAAGCAGGCTTGAGTCTTTCCTTTCTTGGCCTTCCTGCATTCCTTCTCCCTTTAGGTGGTAGGACCACATCTTCCATCACCTCTGTTGGGATTACCCATAAACTCTCATTTGGCATCGGATTCACTGGAAATTCATAAGTGCTAAGGAGTTTATCCTTCTTGTAGTAAAAAGAGCAATACTGGTCAGGTTTAAGCTGCTGGTTCTTCAAAACCGTCCAAGCATGCGGACATGGAAGTTCATCCATTTGAAATTTTTCGCAACCGCATGTTCCCTCTTCAAGGCACACTATGTTTCTCCTTACCCCTTCAAGCACATTATATAACTGATCCGTAGCAGGCCTCACCTGCAAAAGGTTTTTTTTTTTAAAAAAATTTAAAGAACATTATACATTATTATATAGAGTTATACATCCTTATACAAGCAGTAAAATGCAAGTCAGAAGTGCCAAGATTCATTATATTTGATTCATTTTACCGTCATTTGCTCCGATGCAATCAGATTTTCCCGAAGGAGTTTGTCGTACTTTTCGCCAAGCTCTGTAGATGTCTCCATTGCACTTTTTCTGTTTTTGTTGTTCCACTGTTATAGCAAATTTGTCATGTACTCCAGCAATCGCATTACTGGTAACTCTCTAGCATCCTTGTTAGCTACATTAATTGACTCTGCAATATTGGAAGTCATTACCATCGACCTTTTCACCTTGGAATATGCTCTAGACCACCTTTCGTACCCAATTTCGAACAAGTAAGGCTGCACCCTCGGATCAATTTTGCACAACTCTGTCATATGGTACTCAAACTTCTCTATCGTGTAAGCTCTTGTCAAAGAAAAGAAGATATCCTTCAATTGTTTGTGATGTTTCTTGAATGTGCGCTTTACATTCTGCCACAAGTGAAACATGCAAATACAATGTGGTACTTCTGGGTACACAGCTTTTGTGGCATTGAAGATGCTTTTATTTCTATCTGAAACTATACACATCCCTTNCAAGGGAGCAGTCGAATGAATCGTTCCCAAACAAGTAATAGTCCTACTCCGGTTAACATCGTTAGACTAAGGAGTAAGAAATGCGACAGACCTGCAAAATCAACAGATAAGCTGAAAGATGATTTGTTTAATGAAGATGATGTAGTCCGCAATGTTAAACGGAAAAGGAGAAAGATGAAGGATGATGGTGAGAGTTGCCTTGATTTACAATCGAGAGAACAAAGGGTCGTTATTCGCTTGAAATTGAATAAGAGAAAAGCTAAGTTGAAGGTATTCCCTGTTTTGCTATTTATTTATACATGCTTATACAGTTTTATATAAAGTTATACATCTGTTTATACATCTTTATACAAGCACTGCTATACTTGTATACACAGCCTTTGTGGCATTGAAGATGCTTTCATTTCTATCTGAAACTATACACATCCCTTCCCTAACTCCAAAAGTACCCTTTATCTGGACAAAGAACCACTCCCAAGATTTGTTATTCTCTGAATCCACAATTGCATACGCAAGTGGAAGGATTTTTCCTGTTTATACAAAAATAGATATTAGGATTCAGACTGTAAATTAGTCTGCAGATACCAACTGCAAATTTTATACAAATCTTATATACATTTATACACAATTATACAGATTTATACCAACTGCAAATTTTATAAAAACAGCAGCTGTGAAATCCTATACACTTTTATACATGAAACTAAAACATTATACAAACTGTAGAAACAACGTAGATGCAGTCAACTCACCAGCTCCATCTTGTGTGCAAGCAGTCAATATGGTACCCTTATATGCTGCTTTAAGGAAGCTTCTGTCAACAACCAGTATCGGTCTGCAATGCTCCCAGCCCTTGATAGATGCATATAGCGAAACATATGCATAAAGAAAGAATCCATCTTCTGATTTGTGCAACTTTGTAACCGTTCCTGGATTTGTTTGCTCCAACATATAAAAATACTTCGGCAACTCCTTATATGAATCACTCGGACTCCCTCTTATCATTGCCATTGCTATTTCTTTAGCTCTCCATGCTTTCATGTAGCTCACTTCAATCCCGTGTTGCTTTTGTATGTCCTCTATTATATCATTTGCGGTGTAAACTTTTTTTGGATTAACATACTTGTCCTTGACTATACTAGCAATTATACCCGAAGTAGCTTGACGTTGTGTTAAGTATCTTTCACCATAGCCGCATGTGTGATTATTATTGTAACTTCTCACTTTGAATATGTTTGCCTTGAAAACGGCAGAAGATTTGAAACTCCAAGCACAATTGTCATCCAGACATGTAAGGTGATACCTAGTATTATACATCATTCAACTTCTAAATACACTTGTATACAAACTGCATATATACTAATTTTAATACCTATATACAAATATATACTACTTTATACATATTTATACAACAGAATATACAATTAATGACATACCTTGTTGCGCTTGATCTCTTCACCTTGAATTGGAACCTTTCGCGTACAGCCAAGTTCTTCATCACATTCATAAGTGTCTCTTTATCCTTATAAACTTGATCCTCCTCAACAAATTCGTTCAACATATTATCTATTATACCCGTGTTTTCACTAAATTTCGTATTTTCAATCAATTCAATATCAATAATCTCAGTGCTATCAGTTGTTGATACATCTCTAGAATTTGAATTTGTAGCAACCAAACAACTGGAACTTGAAGCAACCACAGAACTTGTAACAACCAAATAATTTTCATAAATCTCTTTCACTGTCACAAACAGGGGATATTCAGTGAAATTCAAGTTTTTCTTCTTTAATTCTATATACACCTTAACTCCTGTATCGTTGTAAATCATGATCGGTGGCAAACTAACATTTGGGACAAAGTTAATCTCTATTGTGTTTAAATCACTATCGATCCTAATCTGTTCCGAAATAGCTGCAACTAAATTATTGTAGTTGAATGTGGACTCGATTATTACACAATCACTGACGAAATTCACAAACTTGTTTTCTTCCCATTCACCACTATGAAGAAGGTAAACAGGAAAAATCTCCATCTAACAAAAAATTGAAATCAAAATTGCAGCAAAAAGGAGAATTGCGCTGCTTCGTAGCAAAAAATTGAATAAATTCTAGATGAAGAAGAAATGCTAGGGTTGAAGTATTTGGGGGAAGAAGATTGGAAAGAATCTGAGAAAATCCAGCTGAATGAGAGAAAATCGCGTTTGGTAGTCTCAAAATACCGGAAATAACGCCCCCTTTTCAGATATGGGCCTCTAATTTGTGGGCTACTCAATTGTAAAGTTAAATATGGGCTATAAAGTTGAAAAGGAGGCAGCCCACTTGTTTTAATGTGAAATTTTCCCTAGAAATGATAGAGCTCAAATTGTTTATCTTATCTGACCTTTTCTTTCACTTCTCCTATCTTAAGAGACCTCCCAAAAATTACTTTAAAAAATGGTAACAAACGTGCAAACGAAAAATTGGAATTTTTGCATGCTAAATCATATAGTATCAGTAATTATGAAATCAAAATAAAGTATGATTTAAAGATACTTGTATAACAAGTTGAAGAATTTTGGGAGTCAGTTCTTTTGGTCGTACAAGAAGGATAATCGTCTAATTTACTCAATCTGTATTTTATTATTCTTATTAAATATTTAATGTAAAAGTAAGATTAACTGAGTCAATTTCCACGCTTGTCCCACGTAAGAAAGTGTAAAGAAAGCTTCATTGCCTGGTCCTTTTAGCCACCGACTCAGCAAAACCAAACGGTTAGTCTAACACGAGTTCCATTTTTTCCTTTTCTAATTAGTAAAAATTAAAAAAAAAATAAAAAATTAGCACTGCATTTTGGGCCATCAACTTATAGACTTTTCAAAAAATCTCACATTAACACGTCAAAAAAGTCATTTTTATGAACCTCATTAGGAACCTCACATGAAGTATCATAGAAACCTCTTTTGCCAACATTTATTTATTCTTATATATACCCACACACACACTCCATTTCCAAGAACAGCATAATACCATGGAAAACAGAAGGAGATTTTTGAAGAATCAGATGCAAATCAGCAAAAGCAAAGCAAAGTCCAATTGCAAGAAGCATCCTAAACACAAGCAAAATCCCGGGGTTTGCTCCGTCTGTCTTAGTGAAAAACTCTCTCTGCTTTCAAAAACTTCACCAAGTAATACTACAACTATTACTTCTTCTTGTTCTTCTTCTTCTTTGTCGTCTTTGTCTTCGTCATCGGATGTTTCGTCGTGTTCTTCTCCACCTCGTTATAGAATGGACACTAATGTGCTTATGAAGAGTAGATCACTGGCTTTAATAATGAGAAGAAGAGAAGGTGGAATATTGGAAGAGAGTAATGGGAATAAGAAGAAAGGAGGATTTTTGTCTAAGTTGTTAAGTCCAAGGAGAAATAGAAAGGATGAAGGATTGGCGCATTCAAGAACAATGAGAGAAAGGGTGATAACAAGACTAAGAACTACTGCAGCATGAGATTTTTTTTTTTTTTTTTTTTTTTTAATTTTATTTTCTTCTTGGTTTTGATTTGATAGAATCTGTTGTATTGTTATTAGTTTTTTGCTAGTCAAAATTAGACAAAAGAAAAATATAGTACGAAAATAGGCCACGTCTGTATGAACTATGTTCGTGGAAATTGTGAATGATTATCGGGAAAAACAATTACCTTTGAATATATAGTGTACAACATTTTACAGTTTTGGTTCCTTCTCAGTGCTATGATGATGTGTTACTTAACAGAGTTAATGAGAATTTATGTATAGTTTTTCATGTTATTAATTATATATATAAATGTATAATTGCTTTCAAAATAATAGCCGAAAAAATGTATATTTTTTGTATATATATATATATTCTGTATGCTATATAGAAAAAATATATAAATTTATATACTTTTTCGGCTACTAAATGTAAATAGTTTCTGGCGCCCGCTAAAAGTGAAAAAGACCCTTATATATATACTGTAGTGGAGTCTTCCTAGATGATTTTAGTTGTTTTTTTTCGTGAACCTTCTCTCTTGTCAATTAACATAAGTTGTGATTTTTGTAAGTTTAAAATGATTTAGATAAAATATGTTAAAAGTTCTATTGTCTGATTTATTGGTTCTTGTTTTCCTTTCTCTTTTATATATTTGTTGTTTTGGAGAAGTAATTACCTTGTTTCCTCACATGAGGGCTTTGTGAAGTAATACAGGCCAGCATATGTATAAGTTATTTATTCAGAAGCAGTACTCATTTAGTAGTCCATAATCGCAGTACGTGCTTTCTTTGTTCCTCCATTAAGTCGGAGGATGATTGTTTGAACTCGAAATTTGATACAACTCTTCCTTCTCCAACGGTTCGACCTTTTGTTTCTCGAGCCCATAAACAGCTGCACGCATTTTCTAAATTAATACTTTAATTTGTTTTGACATCAATGGAGTAATGCATATTACCAAATGACGATCTGTCAGTTTGACCTCTTAAGCGATTTGATTCATCTAGCTATTTGAAATCGAGAGGAGCATATCTCGAACTGTATACTCCCTCCAATCCATAATAAGTGACTTTTTGGCCTATGACGCACACCTTAAGAAAACACTAACTCTGTTTACCCTAAAATTCGAATAACAATTAAACTTATATTGTGGGTTTAAGGACATGTGATTCAATCCAATACCAATTGATAAGCGAGTAATTAAATAGATAAATTAGAGAATAAAACAAAACAAACCAGTATGCAAGCCAAATCTCCACCTCAACCTGTGGTAATCTCGAGGTGTGATAATAAGAATAGCATGATAAAGCAACTCTGATGAATAGTAAGCGAAATAGCAAGAAAGTAATGAACGTATATTTTCTTATCAGTGAACAATGTGCTTACAAATGAATGAGATCCCTCTTTATATAATAGGGGAGCCCTAAATAAGGTACACTTCTAATTATAGTAGGAAATCATATTAACATCTAGTAAACCGCCGAATATCAATCCATTCCGAAATTCACGCCACGATTCTCTATCAATCGCGGATATCTCGCCTTTTCCGTTATCAAGCCACGCCGGTGTCACTCGAAGTCTTTCTTCCCTTGTCCGCAATCGAGGTCGACCTCAGGACTACTCGACGTGACATTCCTATCTCGACCAAAGAATGAAATCGGGTAGCCCCGATTTCTACCGTATACAGATAGTCCCCTCGTTTTTTAGAGTAAAATGATAAGAAACGGCTTGAGCTTCGATTTTCTGGAGACCCCGATAGTAATGTCACCCCCGGGACGTAAGCGGTCGAGGTGACCGAAACGTCCCGTCGGTACAGTTCCCCAAATCATTAATGCTTGCCAGTGGTCGGTCGGCCACTAGCGCCACCGAATCGTCACCGTGGATCTATTAATACAGGACCTTTATTTAAATCAATAATTTTACTTCCACCTTCACCAAGTTTTCTAAGTCTTTTCTTCTTCTCATCTATTCCCTTTCACCACCCGTTGAGCCACTTTCGTTAGTACCAAAACACCAAATTTCACCTCTTTTTCCGCTTCCTTCTACCTGAATCAATGGCGAAAACTTCCAAGACCGTCCCACTAAAGGAGAAAGCTTCTTCCTCTTCTTCCCGGCTGGCCGGTGATAAAATGCCTGTGGAACCGCTCCTTCACGAGTACGTTCCCGGCCCTTGTGTCTTGAAAATCGACTTCAAAGTCGAGAACCCTTCGTCAGTCCCTAGCCGATGTGAACACGTGTCGAGATATATATGCTCGATAACGGCGAAACAATTCGAGACTGTGAAGAAAGACTGTAACTGGGGGGCCGAGGTCGTGGTACAGATCCTCGCCCCCGAAGAGAGTATTACCACTCACGTAGAGGGGTTTCTTAGTGTCTAAACTTACCCCTTCACATTGGGTCCTCTTGACCCAGTTATCGTTGACTTTTGCAAGACGTATCAGGTTACCCTCGGCCAGGTTCATCCCTCGTTCTGGCGTATAGTGATCATGCTCCGCTTCTTCTCTAGTAAGGCCAAGGGGTTGGAATTCACTCTCAGCCATCTCATACAATTGTATTGACCTTGACTTTTTTGAGGATTAATCAAGCTCCAACGCCGGTCAACAAAGTCCTTTTTTGCGAGCAACGATGAGGACAAAGATCGGGGTTGGATGAGCCGGTTCGTGCGGGTAAGGACCTGCGACCTCATCCCCGAGGAGAAACTGTCGTTCCTCGAGAAGTGGAACCCCGATCGTAAGTAACGAACTGACCATTAGTCTTCGAACTTCATTTTTTGCTTTATGTAATGCTTTCATATGTTATGTAGTGGTTGCCTGGATGCCTCATGCGATCCCCGACCTCGAAGACTGGGTTCGAAAGTTGGCCTCGACTTCCTCTCACACTGAGCGCTGCTGGCGTGACTTGGCAAGGGGCATATGGGAAGCCAAGAATCATGGTAAGCTTATCCTGTAAGCTTTTGGTGCCCTTTTTCTGTAACGTTTCTTTTTACTTATACTTGACTCTTTTTTAGGCAGGCCTCAGGGATGTTGCTGAAATGAGGCCGGCCTCCCAAACCGGCTAAGGACAAGAAATAGAAAAGGGCCTCACCTTCCGGTACCCCGAAGCCTAAGAAGAGTAAGGCTCGTAAGTCGAAGGACGACTCCGCGGCTCTATCTGCTGACGTAGCCCAAAAGCTACGAGATGAACAAGAGGAGATGGAAGATGCTGGTTGTGAGTTGGTGCCTCGAAAGAGGGGGAGCATCGAAGCTTCAACAGCGCTGGGCCGGTGATGATCGAGGAGACTCACTCTCGGACCGAGGAGATCTCGGAAGGTGCTTCGAGCAAAGTCCCAGAGTCATTGGGGGTCGAAGATATTTCCTGCTGTGATGGACAACCGATGAGTGTGCCCGCAGGGTTCGGTTCTAGGGCTCTTCGGAAGGGAGAGAGCGCCCAAAGTGACTTGCTTGGGGCAATCAATATTGATGATTCATCGCCCGGCCCTAAATTTTCTAAAGGGCAGTTTTGGAGGCTTGATCTAGGAGACCCCCGATGTAGGAACGGCCCACGATGGGGAAGACATATTCCGCGGCTGCCTTGCGGGTGTTGATGATGTTTCCGACCTAGATACGGAGATTGTTTTTGATGAGGACCATCGTCTCCTAAACCAGTTAAACTTCATCCCCCGTTATTACGTTCGCTTTCATTTCCTCCTGTCCTGATTTCTTTCCTTTCTCCATAGGTTGTGACGCTCCATCGGGAAGCGTTCACCAAATCCCAAGCTGAGCTGAACCGTGTGAGGCCGATCTCAAGAGTCTTAATGATGAGAGAGACGCCCTCAAACGCCTCTATGTGCAGAAAGAAGAGGAGATCAGGGACCTCGAGCAAACATGGACCGGGCTCGTAAGGAAAAAGCCGAGCTAGACGAGCAGGTAACTATCCTTTTGAAAGAGTACGGTCTCGATCCAACTGTGGAGGCTAATACTTCAATATCTCAGTTGTAGCAAAAGCTGGAAAAATCGAGCTGCTCCAAGGGGAAATCGATCAAATCAAAGTTGACTGTGATCGGTGGAAGGAGAACATGGACTGCCTTGCTACGGAGAAACAGGCTGCCTTAGCCAATCTGTCATCGGTCGAGGTCCAGCTTCGGAGTATTAAAGAGAAAATCTCAGCCCAGGCCAAAAGGATCGAGGAGCTTGAAGCCGATCTTGCTGAGGCCAAGGCGGAGGTCGGGAAGACGAAGATCATGGCTGACAAGGCCATAGCCGTGTACCTAGCTGATGCCGGGTCTGCTCAATCGCAGCTAAGGGAGGCTTCTGATCGAGAGCGATGGAGCAATGACTTGGCGAAGTGCCAATCCCAGAGGGAGACCCTCGAGGAAATCCATACTCGAGGTTTCGACCTCTCCAAAGAGATAGCTCAAGCTAAGGCGCTTGAAGCTGATGCCGGGTTGCTCGTCTCCTCCGATAATGATGATGACGAGTAAGGCAGCCAAGGCGGGTCTGATAACGACGAGGGGCCCGAAGGAGAAGCTGCCCCTGAGGGAGAAACCAGCCCCGGGCATAGTTAGGATTTTATTCCACCCTTTTTTTGTAAGACCCCCGTCGGTCCATTGTACATATTTTTGCCCATATATATAAAGAAATCTTCCCTTTTGAATGCCTTCTCAATTTTTATCTATAAACATGTTTTTTGACTTGCAAAACTTTAGCACTATCTTATGCTTTTAAGGTGCGTTCGAGATTTTGGTTTTGTGTGGCTTCCTCGAAGTCACCACAGTCGAGTTCGAATAAGGTTCGAACTTGAAGTGTGTCGAATAATGATGAGTCCCTGAGCCATAGTCAAGTCAGTTTTGTTTGGGCTCGGAATAGTCAAACTCGTAGGTTCGGATGGAGCAAGAACAAGATCTCGAACTGTAAGTGTACTGGCCCTTAGGCTCATTAGATCGGGCCAATATGTCCTTTAAAAGATGGCTATTAATCCCCTCTTTCAGCTTAAAATACTTAGTAAAATTTTCTTTATGCCTTAGCATGTATTTTTTACCCATTGGTTTTTTTAGGGTTCATGTTGATTGAAACCCCTCTGCTTTTTGTGCCTTAGCATGTTTGTATTAAGATAATTTGATACCCCTTAAGGTTTTTCAAGGGCTGATTTTATCGAAGCCCTTTTGATTATTTGCCGAGGGTAGCCTTCTTTAACTGGTTTTTCAAAAAATTCAAAGGCCTATTTTATTGCGGGATTCAGACGTCT